GGGGCCCGAAGGGGGCCCAGCAGGGAGGTGGCAGTTCTGGTCCTTACTGAGGAAGACAGAGGCAAAGAAGTTATTAAATATGTTGGCCTTGTTGTCTGGCGTGACCACCAGATTCCCCGTCTTGTCCTGCAAGGGCCCCACATTTCCTGGGGCCTTCTTTCTACTCCCTATGTACTTAAAAAAGGACTTCTTGTTGTCCTTATTTATAAAAAAGGACTTCTTGTTGTCCTTATCTATAGTTGGGGTTATCTTCCCCCCATATGCATCCCTTGCATTTGTTGACATGAAGGTTCATCTGCCATCTTTTTTGCCCACTCACTTAGCTTTGTAAGATAAGGAACTTATTTGCAGCTCCTCTCCATTAGGGGACGACTACCTGGAATAATTTGACTACCTGGAATAAATAGGCATCATGCACAACCTTAGAGATTTCACTGTGCCTCCCATTTCCAGATCACTGATGAAAATGCTAACACAACGGGGCCTAGCACAATATCTGAGCCCACTTGTGACCTCCTTCCATCCTGAGAAGTGGCCTACCCTTTGCTTCTTATCTTCTAACCAGTTCTCAGTCCACAAAAGAACCTTCCCTCCAATCCCAAAGCAACTCAGTTTTTTTTTAAATCTTTGGTGAGGACCCTGCCAAAAGCTTTTGAAAATGCAAGCGAGTCCAATAGATCCCCTTGGCCATGCACTTGTTAACACCCTCAAAGAAATCCTGCAGATTGGTAAAACAGGATTTCCTTTTATAAAATGCATGCTGACTATTCCCCAGGAGAAGACATTTGTCTATGTGATTGCTGATTTTATTCTTTATTATAGACTCTACCAACTTGCCAGGGATGGAAGTGAAACTGACTGGTCTGTAGTTCCCAGCATCACCTCAGGACCTTTTTGAAGATGAGCGCTATGTTGCCAATTGACCAATCCTCTTGGCACAGAGGCCATTTTGTAATAACAGATGACATACTATTGCCAACAGTTCTGCGATTTTACCTTTGAGCTCCTTTAGAACTTTTGGGTGAATGCCATCTGGTCCTGGTGTCTTACTAATATTCAGTTTATCAATTTGTTCTAAAACATCTTCTACTGTCACTTCAATACGGTCCAACTCTTCAGACCCATCTACTAGGAAGAACTGCTCCAGCATGGGAATTTCCCCAGTATCTTCTGTGATAAAAACCAATGCAAAGAATTCATTCAGATTTTTTGCTATGGCTTTATCATCCCTGAGTGTATTTTGGTTATATAGTGGTCCATCTATTCTCTTGCTGGCTTCCTGCTTCTGAATTATTTTTTATGATTAAACTTTCATCTTTTGCCAGATGCTCCTAAAATTCTTTTTTCTGCCTTATTTTGCTATTACATTTGACCTGCCAGAGTTTCTGCTTTCCTCATCTGGGCATACCTTCCATTTTTGAAGGATGCTAGAGGCACCTCCTGGGTGTTAATACAGAGTTCCCAAAACTCGTGATATCCACCATGTTGTACGTTAGTGGTCCCAGACTGTACCCAGATTTATACTGTGCCTGCTCATCTAAGCTTTAAGGTTAGGGTGTCCCCAACCACCCCTTTCAGTGGCCTCTGCCTCCCCATCAGCCACAACCTAAATCTTTGAGGAACAAGATGAAAGGCCCCACAATACCAGTGCTGTCCCCAAGCACAGCAGTGTCCTGAAGGGGTTCAGCTCACCCCTGTGAGCAAGCTCCAAGTAGAAAGAAAACAAAACAGAAAAGTGTACAGGGTGCTTAGTCTGTTTCCTGCTTAGGTCTGCAGCCTATCTTTGCTTGGGCTTCTTTCCACAACCTCTTTGCCATATTCCAGGGGCAGGCAATTATTTTGGCTCAAGAGCCACTTAATGAGTTTTGGTAAGCTGTTAAATGCCACAAGGATACCTCTGCCCCCCTTGACAGGTGCTCTGCCCCCTGGTTGCCATCTTGGGACTGAAAGTCCTGCCCCTATCCCCCTGACCTTTGCTACTGGAAGTCCCTCCCTTTGCCCTGAGAGCACTCGTTCGGCGGGGGGGGTAGGGGGTGTGATCTTGACACTGGAAAAAAAGAACAAATCATATACTAAAAAAAATCAAACATCTCCTATAACTTATTTTAATTTTATTAAAAATATATATTTTTGTTCAATTTAGGTGTGCTTGCATAGTGCACCTAGAGGCAATTGCATACTAGCTCCAAATACAGTCTTAATCTGGTATATTAAGTGGGGGGGAAGGGAGGGGAAGGAGGTGTAGACTTACCTGTATCCAGCTCCTGGGCCTGCTCCCCCTACCCTGCCTAGCTGCATTGCCAGCCACATGTGTGTGCACGTGCAAACACACATGGTGCTCCCTTCCTGCAATCCTCATCCCCCTCCCCTGAGCCCCAAGTAGCTCCCTGTAGGCTGGAACACTTCCAGCTTGTAAGGGGAAACCTGCAGTTTCCCGCTTCAAAGGGGTAAACCCGTGTTTTTCCATAGAAAATGGAAAACTCAAGAGTTATCGTTAAATATGAATTCATGAAAGTTTCAAATTTCCTTTTGAATTTTCAGCTATTTCTTTTCACATCAAGAAAAACAAACAATAACAAGTTGAAAAATAATAGTTGTTATCAACATTTGGTCTAGCAGCTTTATCAATACAAATATCCTACTTACATTTGGGTTCATCACTTGTAACAGACTTAATAAAGTCATATGGAGTCATGTATAATTGGCCCTCAAATTCTAAGCTGGCAAATATACGAAAGCGTTGCTCTCGAGAAGTTGCATAAAGGTCCAAATCTTCAAACTCCGATCTGTTTTCTGTAACCTTAAAAGACAAGGGAACAGTGAAAAATTAGTGCCTTACAAGAAGTGCTACATTCAAGAATCATTATAAGGCAACTTGTAAATGTGAGTGATAATGTATAGCATTTAGGATAAGGGTCTAAAGCCAGTCCCTTTATTCTTACCCTCTAATTTTACCAATACACTTCTGATGTGAAAACTGATCAGCTTATTCTTAGACACAAGAAAAATTATCACTACGAGGGAGTCTCAAAAAAGCTTTGTTTATAGAAATTAAACCTTTGACAGTTTCTCTCTATATATAGAAATAACACAAAAAAGTAAATATTTCCTCTTGTTGTTGCACATTTGCAAAAATCAGATTCTAGACATGGAAAATTATAACAAATTTATAAATTTTCCAAGTTTAGAATCAAATTATTGGGCAGTCGTCTTATAGTCAGAGACATCTTGGATTCAAGTAAATATGGTAAGCGAGTTTTGTTTATGGCTATCAAGCTTAACTTGATAACTTTACCAAAACTCACTTAAATCTAGAACACAAGGGAGCATGAAAGCAAATATGCAGAAACAAAATCTTTTTATTATTTACTTTAATAATTTTTTTTATTATTTCTATATGTAGAGCTCAACTGTCATAGCACCCACCCACACCCATGTTATATATATATATATATATATATATATTCATAAACACACACACACACGTGTTTGTGTGTGTGTATATCTCTACACATACATACATACATACACACACACACATATACACACATATGTGTATATGTATATATGACTGACCAACTTCAGACACTCCCTCAGTCTGATGAAGGGTGTTTGTACCTGAAAGCTTGCAAGAATTTTTTAAGAGGTGCACCAATATATCTGTCTGATATTGGATCAGCACTGATATAAAGAAAATTGACTATATTGGAAAGCCCGATGTGGCTGAAAATTTGTCCGATAAATGCCTGTGAGTGCACGCAGCTGCAGCACAGCACGTGCAAGGAGTGGGGGTGGGGGAGTATGTGCCCCCAGATCTGCCGGAGGCAGGCTGCAGCTGGGGGCCTGGGCCATGCTGCACTCGGGGTGGGCAGCAGCGGTACTAAAAGGGGGGTTATGGGGGGGGGCTTGAG